ATCACTCAGTAAATATTGAGTGCCAACTATATTCTAAGTTCTGAGGATATAACAGTCAACAAACAGCCCATTTCTTTAATGTGAAAGAAAGTAGTGATCTTGGGGAAGCAGACAGTCAAACAGGTGAGATATACCTAAAATTGTGACTTGTTGGAAGGAGGAAGATTGAAGGCAATACGTTTTTAACCAGCTATTAACATAATCTGAGTGTGAAATGTTAAGGGCCTGGACTGTGATATTAATAGTTACAGTGAGAATGGAGGGAAAAAAGTTAAACTTTGAAAAGTTGATTCTACAGGACAATTATATATAAGTTATAAGAAATTATGAAGAGGAAGGAGTTTCAGAATTAGTCAAGGGCATGAGTTCAGCCAAGGGAGGAATACTAGGTTTATGGGGGAAATGGAAATCATAAAATCATCCATGGGCATGTTACATTTATGGGGCTAATAGTGCATCTGACTGGAATTATCCTATTGTAACTAGAAAAAGGGAACTGAGGAAAGAAAGAGCAGGGATGAAAATATGGATATAAGTGTCATCGACTACCTAAGTGCATAAAAGAGAGCAAAGAACATTGGGACTGTCAAAAGAATTAATAAAAGAAACAGTAATGGCCAAGGAAACAGTGATGATGGCCAAGAAAATCAAGAAAGTGTACTGTCATGGGACCCAAAGGTAGAATAGTCGAACAGCATCAAATACTACACAGTAAGGTAGGATGAAAACAGTGAAAATAATATTGGATTTGACATTGGTCACTGGAGACCATGTAAGGAAAGGCATTCATGAACAAGTCAGATTTCAGAGGCTCAGGTGTAATGTTGGATTGGAAACAGATAAATAGGATAGGAACTAAATGTCAAGAAACCTTTTTTTTTTTCAAATGGGAACTTTATTATTGATAATAATATGGAAGATATTGATATGCAAATTTGAGATACACCAGAGGAAGAGAGAATATTGCCTCCTGTCAGGTTTCTTTATCTCTAGTATCATCTACACCAGCCCATTCCCTGTATCAGTGCTGAGTGTATCAGTGCACTGCTTAAAGAGCTCTCTGGATTCCAGTGGAAATCCAATATCCTTAGCAAAGCAGATAAGATACTTTGCACTCTGATTCTAACCTCCTTCTCCCATTTTATCTTCTGCCACTCAGGGCACAGGTGATTTCAGATTCTTTCCAGGCTGGATCTTTGTACACATTGTTCTCTCTGCCTGGATGATCCTTCCTCTCATCTTTCACATGGAAAATTCTAACTTGTCTTTCAACACCTGGCTCAAATGTCACCTCGTTTTTGAGCTCTTTCCCACCTCCCTAGGCCCAGTGCAAGCCTCCCTCTTTGGTGCTTCAACTGTAAGTTGTTCTTTCATATCTTTGTCTCAGCATCCTGCATTGTAATTCATCTGTTTCCATAGCTGTGTTCTCCATTAGACTATATGATCTCTTAACACAGGGACTGTCTTTTTCATTGTTGTAATCTCCATGGTTAACACAAAACAAACTGTTGCTAAAAGCATCAGGAATGAATGATCCTTAATGTAAGGAAACATATACTGAGGTATATAAAATGGAAGTGAAGAAGCATATTAGTACAAAAAATGAACAGTTTCACCTCTGCTCCTTTTTTTTGTAACCTGTCTGTGACCATATATAATGCATACAATATGTGAAACTATGGATTTTAAATGTGTTCTGCTATAGTCATTAAGTATTAGAAAGTAGTTTTAAAGTTAAGCAGTCTCAGCTTCAAATGTGACCTCTGCCTTTAAAAGCTATATGAATTTGAATAAGTTAATTTCTGTAAACCTGAGTTTCCTGTTGGTCAAATGGGGATAATTTAACTTACAGTGTGGCTTGGAGATAAAATTGACAAAATATAGACTAAACAATTTAATAACCAGGATTTGGTTATCACTAATGTTACAATTATTTTTGACTCCCACCTTCATGGCTGGGATCACTTAGTTTTTTTCTGGTCTTAGATTTGGCTCATTTGAAACTTTAATCCATTCTATAAAATGAAGAGCTTTCTGTTTGTTTCCTAAATTAAATTTTGGTGTTAAGACTTTTAAACTCAAGTCTGTCTTTATGTAGCAGTGTTTCATCTACCTAAATGATGCTATCCGATTAATAATATTCATTCCCAGAATCAAGTAAATTCACAAAAATATAGAATTAAATATATGGACTTATTTAGTAAGTTGCCAAGTAAGTCTGAGTTGTTTATGGGTCTCCAAATAACTTCCCAGCAGAGGCCCTAGCTTCAAGGTTTGGTAAGCTGGATCTAAGGACACCCTTTTTGTCTTATCTTCAGGAATCTATTGCCCTGAATGATTTAGATCAACTCTTTCCATTTTTTTTTAGCAGAATTTTTGTGGTTAATAAAAACATGTGCTTACAGCTTTTTTGCATAGATAAAGGAAAGGATTCCACATCCGATTTAGATCAAGAGATAGATTTTGAGAAGAAAATGATGGATATGTCCCCTGGGATCGGTGGAATGCAGTGATGTTCCGTCTCTGACTGATTGAGTTCATGGCATTTAGGAACCCTTCCACACCCACACCCACGCAGAGACACACAAACAGTGGTCACAACTGCAGCTTCATAGGCTGCCTCTTCCCCTAGTCTCATTTCCAAAGTGCATCCGTTGTTTTCCATAACATGAAATAAATCCCTTTCTTTTGCCCAGTGGTGAAAAGCTTATAAAAATACTAAAACTTCAACTATTCCCCTGAGTTTTCTATTGGCTAACCTGCAGCCATGGGTTTGTTTGGACATTGACATGCATTTTCTGTGCAGATATTTCAGGCCACTTGGGTGAGTTCAGTGGTGAAAAATTCACTTGTCTTGAAAATTTATCAGACTAACCATTATAACACTCCATTTGTGAAAACTTAAATAATTGGCACTGTGATTGAAAAGACTCCAGGTTCAAAGTATCTCTTATTCTTTCAGCGTATATCATTCTGATGATATATATCTATATATATTTTAAGAAGTCCTGGCCAGGAGATAACTTTAACAGTCATCAAAAAGAAAATATGAATGTGAAGAATTGATTAGAAACAAGACATTTAACCTTGCCTTGTGGTGTTCCCATGGAAGAATTTTTTTTCAATATTTAGAAGTGAAGTATTTTATTCTGTACTAAATAGTGATAGTTAACATTCTGAGCTGAAATTGAAATGAATAATAAAACATCTTTATCCATCTATTGGAGAGAAAATGGATGGTGTTATACTTAAAAATAAGAATCAATGTTTCCTGTATAGTGGGCACTCAGCAATGAATGTGTGAATAGGACTAATTAGATTTCTAGTGAAATGTAATGCTATCTTGATTAAAATATTTATTATACTCTTATGTAAAATTTTATGTGATTGAACATCATTGTTCAAATAGTATCTATCTTTTAGAGCTGTGGTTCCCAACCCCCAGGCCACAGACTGTTACCGGTCAGTGGCATGATAGGGACCAGCCACAGAGCTCCCACTGCCCTGCCCATCTCCACCCTCTCGCCCCAACCATTGATGGAAAAATGGTCTTCAATGAAACTTAGGAACCTGGAAGCCACATAAGCAGGAGGTGAGCCAAGAGCAAGTGAAACTTCATCTGTATTCACAGCAGGTCCCCATGGCTCATATCACCACCTGAGCTCCACCTCCCCCACCCATCCCTGTGGCAAACTTGTCTTCCATGAAACTGGTCCCTTGTGCTGAAAAGGTTAGGAACTGCTATTTTAGAGAGTACGTTAATTCTATTTTTTCTTTAACTTTTTTACTTTCTTTTTTTCTACTTTATATTTTAGATGGTGATCAGAGACGTATCCTCAAGTATTGATAATATTTTTATCCTTTTAATGAAAATGGTGAAAAAGTACATTTCTCTAATATAACTTCCTATGAAGTATAAAGATTTGAGGCTAATTGTACCTATGTATAAGAGAAATGTATAGATGTCCATGAATACTCAATATTCTACTATAATTCTGTGAGTTTTTCCCTATTATTCCCTGATGACAATAATGTTTTTAAAAAGTCTCTTTGGTCACCTAGATTATTAATTAACTAAAAATAATTTGTATTTCAACAATCAATAATTCTGAAATCCTTCATACATTAGAGACTATGATTGTGTTGAGTTGGCCCTAAGGATCCAAGATTTTGTTTATGTGTTCACTATCTTAACAGAAAAAAAATATAAAACAATGAATTTCATTAATGAATTAGTTCCATTTTCCTTAAGACCTCATAGAGAAAATAAAGAAAATCAAGTATGCTTCTCTGTGAAGTCCAGTTTTAAATTATAGCAGAAACAAAACTGATTTAAAGGACTTGGATGAATTTGAGTTTTGGGGGCTAACCTGAAATTATCAGTCTTGCATGCCTAGAGTTGTTCTAATTAGTAAATTGCAGTGCAAATAAATAAGCAGCTAAGGCTGTTTTTAAGACAATGGCTTTGGCTGTTAATTCTTATGTACTTTTCACATAGCTTTCTTTAAAACAGCTATATTAATTTATTTTTTGTTTTGAGGAATAATTTAGTATATCAGTGTCTACTCTACCCTGATATATTATACTATAGCTGAGACCACAAAGACATTTTGCAAGACTTCATGCTCAAATTGCAATGATGTTGTTATTATATTCATAAATTCCTCAACACCACATTTGGAGGTCAATTAATACCATTTCTCACACAATCTCTTTTTTCCAAGGGACTCTGTTAAAGAGTGCATAGGGATAGAAATAGGAGGAATTACATCTCTTATGGTGGAGTTTTAAACACTGGGACCTGGATGGCTACTCTCACCACTACAGGGCTGCTCAAGTCGTTTCATATAGATAACTTTCTCTCAAAACAAGGAGTAAGGAAAGACTAAGAAACATATTTTGTCACTATTGGTTGTTTGGAAAGAGGGCCACATGAGAGAAAAGAGGTTGTATTACATTCTTTAGAGTGTAAAAATGCATCCTTTTTTGTCTGTTCCTAGATTTGAAGAAGAACTGACCAGCAAGTGGTTATATGTCTTTGAAGGCAGTGGGATACCATATGGCCCAATCAACAACATGAAGAATGTATTTGCAGAACCCCAGGTTTGTTTTTTGAAGTTTAACAACACAAGAATTTGCTTCTCTTTTCTATCCAGATTGATTCATATAAAACTATATTAGTCATTGATCTTAAGCTTAAGTTACATAACATGATTTTTCACAGTTACATTAAAATTATTTGTGGGTCTGAAATAAAAAGAACCAGAATTTAGACTGGACTATCTACAATCATACTTTTGTATCTGTCATATCTAACATATTATATTTCTTCATCAGCTACTACATGAAATTTCTGAGGTCAGGGCATTTATTTTTCCTGAAAAACAGAAATATAGACAATTGAGAAGTTGGGGTTGATCAGAGATCATTCCTTATAGAAAGAAATATGAGAACTTTAATAGTTATAGCCCACCTTTGATCATACAGCTATCTTAAAATGTACAAAGCAAGTCATATTTAAATCTGAAAATGAGATTATTTTATATGCTTGATTAATGTGTGTTGTTCATGAGGCATAAATTATACTCGAATAGCTACTTGTGCTGTACATTGCTTAATAGACTCCTTCTTGGAGCCCAGGAAGAGGGGTCACATGAAAAAATTTTCTTTTATAACATTGTTCAAAGGATTATTTTTAGATGATATCAAAATAGTAAGTTTTAATTTTATTACTTCAATGTAACTACAAGTAATTTACCATGTCTCAGATTCATATATTAACCCCAAAAGGTAGAGGGACTCCATTTTTCTGTGATGCTTTCACTATGATTATTCACATATCTTATCAGTTTCCAACCTTTCAAAATTATAGGAATTTTTTCCCTGGGTTCTTTATGTTTATATAATGGCAGGTTTTTCTTTGAAATGGATTATTGAAAATGGAATATACCTTTTGAAGGAGGTGAATTTTGTTGGAAAACTGATCTATCCCTTTAACTTTGTTATCTGTATCTTACATGAGTATCTGTTTGCAAGAAAATTTAAATGTATTTAATTCAATAGTTACAGATTTATGGGGGGAAAGAGTGAATGAATTCTGATTTATCCTATTTTTCTGCCAAGATTATGAGTATTCAAGGCTTTGCTCATAATAAAACTATGGTTAATAAGTATTTGAGATAAGGAGGCTCACTTGGTGTGAATTAATCTGAAAAAGACCCCACAACATCAGTGATTAATGCCTAGTGATTCCTTGCTATGAGGTAGTACTGTGCACACCCTGAATGTAGACCAGGGGGCTGGTTTTCTCATTTCACCATTGAACGAGGCTGAACTACCATATTCAGCTGTTGTATATTGAGTTGTGTAGGATATCACATTTACCTTAATTTGTGGGCACATTTCTCTGGAGATGTTTTCTAAGAGTTATTCCATCAGCATTTCTGTTGCTCCATCTGTGTTTTATCAGTGTTAAAGGCACCAAAGCAAAGAATTATTTTTAAACCTCGCTGGGTACATTTTAACATTACCTATTTTTTAGGCTTTGATAAATGAAGATTCAAGGTCCCACCTTAAAATTGTTCACTTTATGGACTGATTCAGAGGGCATATAGGATAATTAAGATGTTCATACCTAATATTCTCTTGCAGTTCAGTTTAATTACTTTAATCTTTACATCTCAACTCTTTTGGAACTATAAAGAAGTTTTTATTATTGGTCTATAACATATTTTTAGTCATTAGCCTCCTTTTCAGAATGGAAAATATTGATATTAACTAAGCCAGGGTACCGAATTTTTTCTTACTACTGCAAACTGCCTTCTTTACCACCAAAAAGTGGATTCTAATTGTTACAGTTCTAGCATCCAAAATACTTAATCATACAGTGATAGTTATTTACAGTTATACCCTAGTAGCAAGAGTAGAGTTATTCTCTTTCATAAATAATTTCATTCTTATCTGGGATTTACATACTAAAATATATGTCTATAATTTGTCTGGATTTTTAGAAAGACTAGAGAGTAATGTACTACTATTACATTTTAAAAATAGGCAAAGCTGACTATGGAAACTGTTAAGTAGGACTTTTCCACATAAAAGGTAAGGGCACTGTCTCTCTCTAATGCCTGGTAGTGTTTGTTTCTTTTAGAAAGAATTCGATAAAATTTTTAATTTTGAAAGGAATGTAGAATGTGGAAAAATCAGAGAGTTAAAAAATGTGTAAAATAGATTATTTAAAAAGAAAACCCTTAAGATGACATCTAAAAATGACTACTTAGTTTATTCATTTATTCAACAAGCCTTGACTATACTTAACGTGTACCTGGTGATAGGGATTTAGTATAAATTTAGTATTCCCTGCCTTTCTAAAAAATAAATTTAAAGTTGACTTAAAAAGTAGGTACATAATAAATATTTGTTGATTCATGACTCAGCAAATGAGTGAGTTGGTTAACTCTGTAAAGTGTAGGTTTTCCAAATGATCAAGTGGCTCCTGTGTACACCTGTGGGGGGCTGACAAGCTCTACGTCTAGCATTGATTGGAAAGTCCTAGGTGACCTCAGGGGACTTATTGTAATACAGTAGTTAAAACTATGTAGTCAAAATTGGTGGGCAGTTTTAGAAACTTCCCAGACTTTAGTTTCCTTAAGTGTTAAGTGGTGAAATAGGATCTTTTCTGTATATTGTCGAAAGTATTAAGATATTGTTTAGATGGTAAACACTCGATGCATGGTATTAGCTCTGGTTATGATGGTGCTCTTTATGGTTATAATCTTATTTAAAAGCACCTTCTTTTACTTACCTTTGTTTAGTGGATAGAGTCAAATCCAGTGTAGCTGTGGGGATGGGGATCATTAACTTAAAATCACACTCTGTTATCCTTTTATGAAAATGTATCTGCAAACTCTGTGCCAAGAAGTTATCAAGTCTTCCTTGTTTCTGATTACTGAAAATCCTTTCATTTTTCATTCTCCTTAAAAGTTTTTTCTAAGTATGATTTCCGTTTAAGGTATCCTCCCTTGTTTTCCCTCTGATGAGCTGTAGAGTTTCTTGGCCCCGGGTACATGGAACCGGCCACTTCTGTTCAGATGTGGGAACGCGCCCCTGGCGCCTGTGGCCCGCTCTCCATGTGCGCTGCGCCAGCACAGCTGCTAGTTCGACTGAAAATTGCTTTGGGTGAAGTACAAGGCCTGGAACATGGCGCAGGAAGGGAGACTTTGATAAAGTGAAATGGGGTATGTCTAATAAAAACAAAAAAAATTTTAAAAAAACCCCAAAAAACAAAACAACAAAACAACAGGAATAGAATCTTAAGAAACAGGAGAGAATTTTGTGTGCCTACTTATCAAGTGGACCATTTACATTTCATCTGTAATTTGAACTTGGTAGACAAAAATTTACTTACTAGTAGAAACTGTTACTAACCTAACATTTTTGGCATAGCCTCAAGGTTTGAGAAAACTTGATTTCTTTGAATCAACTGAAACAACAATGATATTTATTTTCTTGGATAGATAGAAGATTGTCTACCTTTTATCCTCTGATTATATGCTACAGACTTTTACACAGTTAAAGTGATCCTACAGACATCTACTGTTAAGTCAATCAAGAGTATTGTACGAGGTTTTGGTCTGCCTTTACTGATATTTCCAAGAGGTTTTGATTCAAAAGCCTTAAAGTTGTAGCTTTATTGTTTTTCTCCCTCAGTGACAAATTATCTCTGGAAATCTCTGTGCATTATAGAGGTATAGTATAGATTATCTGCATATAGATTTTAATAGCCAGTCATTTCTCCATGTGCTTTCTTAAAATATCTTTTTTTAATCAGGCCAAGATTGTGCAATACATTAAAGGAATTCTTAAAAAGTTTCAAAAACTTACTAGATGACCTCAGTATGGTCCTATTTAACATACCCTTGGGAACATGTGCATGAAATACATTGTGGTTTGAGGGTTTCCAACCCAAACAAACTTAAAAGAAAATGCAGCTTTTAATAGAAACTATTTAAATTCCTGAAAAAATAGGTATGGATCTCACCACTGAGAGGGTTTAAAAGCATCATTATCTACATTGAGAATCAAAAGAGAATGCACCACTCTACTTTTAAGATTTTGCTTAAGACTGTACATTTGGTGATTCTAGCCTGTCACCATCTTTGATCAAACTGCTCAATTAAAAAATAAAATATGAATGATTGGAGCTTCTGATTAGTGTTTTTCTCTGTCTTTGATGCTATGACCTGAAAGTATGGAAGAGAGGGCAAAGGATGTCACAAAACTGGTGTTATTTAACAGAGTCTTCACATTTGTACCACACAAGTTGAATATGTCAGGTGTAAGACATCACCCTGAAGCATCACTTCTGAGAACTATTGGGAGGGAAATATCAGAACTATTGAAATATCACAGCTGGCCCTGATTTTAACTGGTGCCAAACACCTGCAGGCTCTAAAAGGATACCAAAACAAAACCCCACCCTGTGGCAACAAGCCATCCCTTGACAACCCTTCCTTAACTTTGCATCACCATCAAAATTAATTTAACATTTTCTCCAGAAACCGTATTCTTCCTGTCCCAGAAGGCCATTACAACTCCTTTAGCAAATCTTTCGTATGGGATAAATATGTCATAGAAACAGAGTGAAGTATTGAAATATTTGATGGCCGAAAACTATCTGTTTTCATCTCATTATTTGTGGAAGCCTGTGAAGTTGGAGGTTTTATTAATCTCTAGACTAGCTCATATTCTCTAAGTGATTTTGTTTTAGCACATTTTGGCAAAATATCTGAGCATCTGGGAAAACAGCCCATTATTCACATAGTAAGCATCAGAAGCACCCCAAAATACAGAGCTGTTTTTCAAGTCCCTTCTATTATTTACATACACACAAGTATATACACATGTATACATTGCACACACATTACTGATGCATTTTGAAGATCACTTTTTGAATGACATTATTTGATATTTCTTGAAATGCAGTTGCATAGTTCTCAGAGGGTTACACAAGTCAAGCAAAAGTATATACTTGTCTCTAATACTGTTGGGAAATACATATAGACAGTGGTCCTTGAAACTGGAAAACTTTTGATGAGGTTCTG